CGTGTTCACACAGGGGCAAAAAAAGGGGTAATTGGGAGGGGGGAACAACAGTGGTCACGCCTCGAACCGAGGAGAGAGATTTTCTTCACTCTGGTTTCTACAAATACTTTTCAGATGGCTTAAAGTAAAGTTACCCAGAAATGCCACCAAGTGAGTAAAATACCCTGGTGATACTCGAGAACAATGATCTGGGACAAGAATAACAGTCGAACACCTGCTATGTCGTCAGAACTAGCATTTTCCAAAATCATTCTACATTTTGGAAAACTCAAATCAAACGTATACGTAGGTTCTGATTATGCCATTTCGCTCCCCCTCAAAATGTCGCATCTTCTGATACCTACTCACTTCTTCGTTGACCGATGTACAGGATGATCATTGATGAACCATCCCGTAACGTCTTTTTCTGCCGATGGTATTTCGCCTAGTTTGTGACGAATATGATACTGCTCAACGATTGGTTAGCCCTTGTGAGGATGGCACACAAATGCCAACAATCAAAGACAGCATAATTTGGCCTCAAAACGTGTAAGTGCTTATCAATCGAAGAGAGGCAGAATGTGTTGGAAATGCTTAATCAGCCAGATGAAACTCAGAGCTCCGTAAACAAATCACCTGGTACCGTGTTCAGTTGAGTGATAATCAGAGAACTAGTGAATGCTACAGTATCTCATGAAAGATGCCGTCTGAAAACAAACGAAAAGTTTCCAACAGTTATGGAGGTAACCTTGGCATGTTTTGATGCCATAAGGGAAAAGTACGTAGAGTTCCCCATGGTGGAGAGAGAGCATCGTTTGTTCATTTCTCAAATGTGCCAATTAGTGAAACTATCAGTCACATATGTAAATTTATTCAATGGAACAACATTGATGTGAATATTCCATTGGATGAACTGAAACAATTGTTATTCGAATGCACGCAAAATGTCCATTTCAATCCAATGGGGAATTATATCGCCAGAAAGATGGGGTTGCAATGGAGTCACCTTTAGGACCATTATTTGGTGAAACGTTTATGGCCATACTAGAGAATGATCCCTTGGAGCCCTATATCAGACAGTGCACCCTGTATAGACGTTATGTGGATGATGTGTTATTTATATGAGACGCAAATGTGGACACCAATCGATTGTTTGAGGAGTTCAATAATGTCCAACCGAACATAAATTTTACTCTGGAAAAAGAAGAAGATAATAGTCCAGCATTTCTAGACATACTCATAGGACGCCGCAGCGATAACAATCACTTGAACTTTGACACTGTGATCAATTTCACTCAAACACACGCACGTGTGATTGGAGCCACAGCTGAAAAACAATTTATTGATCCAAGAAGTCCAAAGAATGGGTCACGTTACTGCTCTGTGGGAGCACGACTGAACAGATCTTTTCGTCTTCATATCAAAACTCGGATTGCAGAAAAGTATATAGTTTACATCTATTTTATGTTTTACGATGATTAAATATTGACTGTTGCAAATGATAGTATTAGTTATTAAACACTTATAAACAGACAACGACAGTAGTATAGTAATAAAATTACGAAATCGAAACAATTATCATGTTATCGAGTGCACTCAAGCTACCCGACATAGATTTGACAGAACAAGTGAAGAGTTTCATTTATTTATTTGATTGAGCACTTTTCGGTTATCTTTCTTAGACAATACTCGGTTAACCCAATCAGTCATAAAACCATGGAACCGTAGATTTATGCATCGCCATAATCAAATTAGGCACACCACCTCGTTCAGTATTTAGAAGACCTGTGAACCTCTCCGGGACTTAAACCTTAAATTGAGAGCCAAAGCCACTAAACCTGAGCTACACGGTCGACATCCGATATATGTAGCGTATGGATATATTGATCAAATATATTTATTCCTGTTTCATCCATGAAAATTTAAATTTTCGTTCCCTCATCGGTTGGCAGGAGCTAAACAAAAGTCTCATATAGTTTTCGATGAAGATTCCAGTTTCCTTAAATGATTTTGTTTTCATTTCTCAATCGTAAATTCGGCACAGTGTTTAACAGCCATCTACTTTTTACATCTTGCTATATGTAATCTACTAAGAAAAACTTTTCACCAGAAGTTATTCTACAAGGGATGAGTTAGGCTCACGCAATACCTCATTGTTCCCGTTTTACGATCGTACGTTTCGATCAAAGACAGAAGAAATCAGATACGGGAATTATGTTATATGAATCCGTTTACAATGGTATACTTACCCGTCACAATGCGAGTTAGGAGTGCTGTGGCTCGGAATGTGTTGTGGAAGTTTGCATGACGTCCCAAATTATCACCATATTTGACTGAGCCAAACAGTGTTACACCAGCCAAAGCGTACACGATCATGAGGAGGAACATACTAGTGATGATGAAAAGGGACTTATACATGGACATCACCACCGTCAGCATGAGCATTTTCAGGGTGACCTACAACGACAGAGAATGGTCGGCAAGTGGCAGGTGTAAAAAATGTGTCATTCAAGCTTGACTACCAACAAAGTAGTCAGTAACATAATCAGCAATCTGAATGTTACTCACATGTCTGCCAGCAATGGTAAAAAATCGTAGCATCAAGACCGACCAACCGAAATTGTTGCTGATTCCTTGAAAATCCTGGAAAACGATCGAAATCCGCGGATTAATTTACATCATTGATGGAAATTCAATGTGGTGATTTACATTTACTTCTTAAAACAATTAAGGCAAACCATTATGCACAAGTTCATGACTGTTAGTCGTTTTTTGAATATGAATTTTAAAATTTACAACCCGTCTTTAAAAATCATAAGGTTTTTATTTTTATATCAGAGTTAATTGTGTGAGTGATGTGGGATAAGTCTCATTGGGTTCGAATAACTATCTTTTATACCTCAACTTCACTCACAATTTTCATTTCATTCAGTCAAACATATATTCAGAAAGTGTGAGACACGAGTTTCATCTTCAGTAAAGCTCATCAGTAGTGAATATTTACCTCTTTTATTGAACATTCTAATGGAAACCTAGTATTATCGATTTATTGACTGATTATTCAAAGAACTTATCCAGTGGAAGGCATTCGACTGTGGTTAATAGGACATCGGCTTTTTTCTCCTTCAGATGGTCTCAGTCCAACTACTGACTGACTATCGCTGAACACCATATGGATAAACGTTGCTCTGCAAGCCTGGGCAGCTCTGACGTGAGCGGGTTGACACAGTTTGGGTCTATATAGCTTTCATGCTGACGATGACATTGTTGAACTCAAATGAAAGTGAAACTCGAGTGTGGGATGACCGGATAACATGAAACCCAGAGACCAGTTGTTAATGTATTCAATCACGTCTGAATGTTCATTAGAGTAAAATAAATTGGGGGTTGGTCACACTAATCACTATATTTTTCTAATTTTTGAGGGTTCGTTCAAAACGTTTGCGTAGAACAACCAAACGCATGCAGAAGAAAGGTAACAGATTTGCAAACTTGGTTATTCATGTTCGGTCCTTTGGTAGTCATCGGTAATTAATGGAGAGTCTCTTTAGAGTTCGAACTAGATTAGGGAGAAAGGCGTAGTCATTGAGCAAAGCTAGAAAAGCGTATAATGAATTGGTGTGTAGGCAGTGCAACTGAGGCTCTTAACGTTTTTCTCAATTACACGATATGCACAATTAGAGCTGTGTTTATTGCCCGGGTTGGATAGCTGAATATGCAGATGATCGCTGACTGTAACTATTAAATGGTAATCTATTTTAATGAATGGAGCCGACGCCTTCAACGTGATTGCTCGCTCATTCAACCAGAATGAATCAAACTTGAAGAGTAATCGGAAATAGAAAGAAAAGCATATTTGGGAATATATTCAAACAATCCACTTCACGAATCATTTGAGAGGAAAAAATTGGTCATTTGAGTGGGGACAGAGTTAAAATCAGATAGATAACGAAACTGATGTGTTCATTTCCCGGAGCGGATCTTTGAAGCAAACAAATGTAGTGAACTATAAATCTAGCTGTGGAACTAACAGCAACCAAATCGGTGATTTAAGTGCAACTGTGAAATGGAGGTGTTTTTCCCAAATATTCTTGGAATCAATTTCACAAGTTGTATCTTAATTTCAGTTAGCTAACGGTCAATCAGTTGGTTGCAGTATGCCACTGGGAAGCATTGAGGAATCGCTGGCATTAATGTGATTCGAAGGTCAAGCCGTTGAAAGTTGAAATCAACCGCGTTACATCAACTTCAAAAACACAACCTTATTCTGCGATCGAGGCGAACCAGACCGTTAACTTGAACCAAATCTACACGTGGACGAATAATCATCAGTTGCTGAGTCTTATCAAGGAATTTCGAATAAAAACACAATTTCGACTAGATACATATAACTTTTTATAGGTATCTCTTTAGAATCATGGGAAAATGGTAGCCAAGCTCACCCGTACCGGATTGGACCGAAAACAGAAGTGAAGCACAATCCACGTCACTCCCAAAAGCACCACAAGCATGTCAAATCGGTTCCGACGAGATTGCCAGTAGCCTTTGAAACTAAGCGCAATGATTTTCAGTAAACATTCCATACAGAAGAATAGAGTGAAAATGATGCCCAGCGAAACTTGTACGTGATAACGTGGTCGTACCCAGGAAGAACGTTCACTACCGGCTTCGTTAAACTTGGCGCGCACACATAGAGATCACGAGTTTGGGAGACAGGGGTTGGAAAGCATACAACTCAGTAATTGGAAGACTTGAAAAAGAAGCAAATTTGTGAACTGAACTCAATGCAAATTAAAGCAAACACATTCTGTAAGTACTTCTTTGCAATAATGAACTACTTCTTGGTTTTAGTGCATGAAATGTCGTCCTAAGAATAGTATTACATTCAATTAAATATTCACTGAACATCTACCGAACCCTAAAAATAACCATTTGAGATGAAAAATTCACGAATCAGTAGTCAAATCACTTAAAGAAGCTTGTCTTCACTTGGTTATCAACATCTTCGGTGTATTACGGTTGGGGGCGGGGGAGGAAGAAGCTGTAATTGTATGCTCACTAAGGAGTTGGTGAACAGACCCTGTGGTTTTGATGAGTCCAGTCAAAACAGCTTTCCTCCTCATATTCGGGCTTAAACAAACGTATTTCAAACCCTCATTCTATTGATGTGCTACCGGACGAAGTTCATCAGTCAACGCCATTTGCACACAATAGTCAATTTTGCATCAGAACACAATGAGAAACTGCACAATGTCAGACGTCAGATCGCTTACCGGGAAGAAAAGCAATGTACAATTGGCGACAACCAGAATAGCCGAAGCCCGTTTAAATGCGATGTGTTGTGTGATGTCATAGATCAAGCATCTGAATTTCAGACTTTTCTTTTCCAAATTATTTGCCATCTGGGCTCCAACATAACCATCCTGTCCCGGCTCTTGTCGCAGCTCTGTTTGAGGGGGGGGGCGGAGGACAACAACACACTGCACTTAGTGAAATTCTTCAAAATCTATCGTAGTAAATTGTTTTCTGATACATAATCAAAACATTGGAAACTGTCGACGAACACCCTGAGTTGCGCATAAAGTTTGAAACAAAATTATAGAATCCCCGGTTATATTTCCACACACCTCCCCTCCGGTATTCTCGAACGAAATAATATATGTTACAATGGACAAATCCACAACATGGGGTGAGCCGAATTTAGTACTATATGCTAACAAGGGCAGAAAGTGCGCGAAATGGTGTAATATATATGAAACAAGCCCCAACAATAGCTAGGCTTCTATCGTTACTACTTAAGACTGAAGGAAACTGCCATTTTGCTTGAAAACCCCTACGCATCTTTCCTGGATAATTCTTAGATGATTTGTGAGTGGTTCTTTTCTAGCATTTAATCTACGTGAGACAGTTCATCACACATCGTGACCGGTAAACCATGAAATCCTTGTATCATTGGAGTGCAAGTAATCTTTAGAGATTTTCAGTCGAATTTAGATACGGACTACGGGTTGATTGTTGCGTAACTTTGATCCCGAGGAGCAACATTCAATAGTTTGGAAGATATAACCAGCGAAAAGCAGCAATATTATGTTGCAATATAGAGTCATATCGTAATATGCTGGTCTGCGGCCCTTGAGAGCAGAGTTCCGACGTACGAATATGCAGGTATTGGTCGAACTCGTGTGATGACTATCAATTTGGAAGTACACTTAAGTTTGTAGTATCATCTACATGAGTAACTGTGAATGAAGAGCATTTGCTCCGAATTTTATACCTCACTGCAAATATTTTAGTTCTCTTATATCACTACTTTAATTTATGGGACCTCGAGTGTCACGATAGAATTAGTAGTAGTTTGAAAGTTACACCTCGAAATGAAAAGGTAATGTATGTAAAGTGGCATGAGAGTTCATGCGTTCTAACCGATGTTTTGTTTCTGAGGGTGTTTAATATGGTTGATACACGTACTATGAAGTAAATAAGCTGAGTAACAAAAATTTTCCATTTTAACGAATTTGATAAATTATTTGGCTTCAAATTACTCACGTAAAATCCCTCATCCTGAATGGACTAAAATATATTCTAAGAAATAAGAAATAAACATTGACCTTCAAAAGTTGACCTTGGGGTGTGCGACTCGTTAAATAGACGCTTTGTAGTTTCAACATGCCCAAAACGAATGGAAAACCTAGGAGCTTTTGGCATATAATCGAATCCGATAGGCAACTTATTTGAGAGCTGGATAAATCCTGGGACTCATTTTCTGACTTGTGCAGGTACTTTAACGTTAAAATAAGCCCGGTTTATCGCACAATCAACTAATAGAAGCAGAAACATGAGTAGATATCCTTAATTCGTGTCTGGTGTGGGGCAATATCCACATGGAACCCGGTGTATGAGCCTCATGCACTAACTGCTAGCGGGGGGGGGGGGTAATCTGACGAAATTCAGGTTGTCGCACCAGTTCGATCAATACCAATACGCTACGAAACTTTGTATGCCCTCAGTTATAACTAGGTAGTTCGTTGTTCACAAGCGCATTGTACTCCCTATGGTCTTGGATGGGAGTTTAACTCTTTGAGAGACCGTTACTTCTCAACCAGTTAAATGCGTTGGATGCAATGGGTAAGCTTTGTGATGATCAACAACGAGTACTAGAAGGCTACTTGGTGCTGTTTGAGACTTGTCAGTTAATCCAAAAATTGATTCATTCATCTAATGATGGCGCTGACTGTTGTTCGTTCAGCTCAGGGACAGGGTTGTCGACTGCTAACGTGAAAGTTCATGGTTAGAAACCCATCTGGGACAGGAAAAGTGAGAACTGCTGACGTGTCAGGAAACAGGATGATACAGCTGTTCACTGACGACATAAATATCCATCGCATGCACATAACAAGCTTACTTAGGCCGCTGTCCCAGAAGGATTCTGGAATAACCACTGAGCTTGGATATAATATGGAATGATTGAAGCTCGGGATGCGGATGTTGTTACCGCAAAACATGGCTACGAAGCTTCTGTAAATAACACTTCCAGCTTGGACGGTACACCAACACTAAAATCACTGAGATTCTGTAGTTGTTTCTTCTTCTGAAAACCTTCTGTTTTACAATAACAATTTCAGGTATCTGTTCAATCCAAATTGTCACATTTTTCATCTTTGAAGGAAATCTTTCCCTATTCTTTTGTCCATGTGGCTTCTGCTTCTGCTCCCAATAAGCATTTTTGCAGTAGCGTGATGGCAATACATTTTTTTCAATTTCCTTATTTGATCCACAATTCAGTTCTGGACATTCTTTGAAATGTATATTTCGAAATACTGAATGCGATCATAGCTTTCAACATCGAAATGGAACATATGTTATTGCCGGCTAGATGAAGTAATTTTCACTTGTTAAATGTTATTAGCCTTTAGAGGACAATTATCAAGTGCACATTGCTAGCTACAATCCAAATACTGTGGTAAGACTTTCATTTATCCGCTCGTCGCCTGGCGATTTCGAGTGGGCTGAGCCCCGCTAGGCAGACCGCAGTTATTTTGCGCCACTAATATTCTGTTGCTTTTTCCATGTGAAGCATTTTTCAGATAAAATTCTATCTCAGTTCTACAGGTTTCGACTAACGTTAACGGAGGTCACCGGAAGCCCCTAGATTGAATTACGTACTGCAGCTTATATGAGCCACGTGTTTCTGATTTTCATGGATTCGATGGTCACCAAAACCCTGAGCGAACCAGTCAGATTGTTACTGATCTTCATGGTCTGTCTGATTTTTTAACACTGGATATTAAAGTGTATCATGACAGAGATTTTCATGTTTTCCATTTTATTTTATCGCATTATCCGCTCTATTTAGCACATACTAGACAGTTCCTTTGGAGAATGCGGCATGCCATATCGTAGCATGAGTCAGACCATATATGTTTTCGTTAGAGCATACATAATTGGAAGAAAGAGCACAAGTGGAAAGAGGGGAAGTTCCACATCTTAGTCACTAATGATAACAATTCAACACTAGGAGTACTTACAACTTGGTACCTCGGATATCGATTCGCGGTGTATAAAAGTGATGCCCTAAAAGTGAATTCCAGCAAAGAACGCAACATAAATGGTCCGGTCTGAATAACTATTGTTGTTCTGTAATATAAACAGAAATAGACCTGTCAGAATACCAAACCTCATGCCTTTGGTCTGTAACATTGCTATATTTTTGAACAGTTACAGATCGTTTGATCTGTAATTTACCTGTGAACAAAGATTCTAAAATATACTCTTTGTACACGTTCTAATTTCAACATGCTTTCAGACAAAAGAAGCATGTAGACCGATGCATATGATATTCGGAATGCACGGAGAATTTCAATGATATTAAAAGGTTTCTGAAGAGATTTGGTGATCTATCCATATATCAGAAGGGAAGATCATATATGACTGAATTTCATTGCCCAGTTATCCTAAAGTGAATTTAATTATTATATAGACAGAGACCAGTAATAAACTCGAACGTTAATCGAGTCAGTAAATAAGACAAACAAGTGACTGGTGTTTATCAATCTTCAATACTATCTAAGATGTGTTTCCTTTCCTCCCATGCAACTGTCCTCTGTACATCCCCACATCGGACCTCATTATAGCCTCAGATTGCCCCGGCAAATGGATGGCCAGTAAACTATCTCTACGCATCCAAAAGAGCTCTCATGGCTAATCGTAACCAGCGAACATGAAGGTTCCGCCTGCATTAACTATTCTCTCCGATTCCTATTGTGATTTACTCGCGAAAGAAATACCGTGAAGATTGAAACTTTGTCCTCATATCGTCGTGATTATCAAATATCATGTGATCCATATAAGTGTTCGCGTGGTTCGATTACTTCAACTGGGTTCATTTCAGCACGAGGTTCAACAATCTATCATTTTCTCTTGCTTTCACATGGTCCAATGTCGGTGCCACAGTGCCGTTTATGGTTCAAACATGTAGACGTGTCGATACAAAGCGATTCAAACGAAAGCCAACCCCAACTTTCCGTCTGTGATCACTATTCAACAACGGGCACTTTTGTGTGTGGTTGGCATAAGTAATAGCTAGCTGAGATAGATCAGCATATCGTCCAATTTAAAAGACACACATGACACGCGCATCACATACTCGGTCGTGGTGGAAGTTGTAGGGGCTGGGTTAGTTTGATTCGACCTTTTAAATCGAGCCAACGACGTTGATCGACTGTGAGCAAAGCGGTGCCCTGTTTAATGGGGTGGGAGTGGGGAAGG